TTGGGCTACGCTCAGACCCCATTTGCCCTGTCGTTTTTGGAATACATTTATCCAGCTGCACTCATTTACTCTTCCACCCTATGGGAAGCTTCGGAACACTATAATAACACTGACTATCACTGACAGGCGCAGTCAAATAAACAAGGCTTTATCTATTATCGCTTCCCTTCTATGTTGGTGAGGTTCGGAACGAAATAACACGATGTTAGCCCCATAATTTTTTTAGTTGTTACGATATACAGATAAAGAATGGCATTCTTAGTTAATACTGGTATCGTTTCTGGCAATAAAACATATTTACCGCTGCAAGCTGAATTTTACACGCATTTTATCATAAGTACGTTTTGTTCATCATGTATCTTACCCCACATTATCCATTTATATGATTTTCTGCGTAAAGTAGTTTCTACACATGTCCATGTCCTACTTAAGAAAAATTACCTTACCTTATCATGGTCGGCTTTAATTATTGGCTGAGTTGTTTATAGGCATGTAAATTTTAACTAGGCGGTTCATGCAACAGCCTCCGCTGGGGTTGCCTTTTGGGTTTGGTTATTATTATCGTATATAGTAAGTTTCAGATGCACTACGTTTTGGTCCTCATTAGCTATGACTGCACAACTTTGACACTACATATTGTCTGCACATTTCAATAGACTGTGCTTCATAAATAATGCTATTTGCGAGTGAGCTTCACATATTATGAGGTCTTGCTGTCATCATATGCACTCTCTTTACCTTGCAATCTATTTCCATCATTCCAGTGCTCTGCATTCCTGTGAACTTTGATGTTGCTCTTTAGTGCCTGCCCTGATTACATGCCAAACCCCAATGTTAGCGGTCGGTATTTTCTTCCAAAGTATCATTTTCCAGTGGTAAAGAGTCTACTACGAAGCTGGAACTTTGCGATGTGTTTAATTATTTGTATTCTTGGATGTCCTACACTTCTGGTTTTCTATGCTAGACCGAATTCTGGGAAAGGCCACCCTTGCCTTCATTTTGGGCTGATTATGTGATCGTCCACCTATTCCAATAGGCTATTTATTTTCGCGCTTGTAGCATTGTCATTAAGTCGGGCGTTGTTATTTTGCTTGATGGATTTTAAATTTGTGGTTTACTGGGAGACTTAGGTTATCGTAGTATGGGAACTCCCCATATTAAGGTCATACTGCGCAGCGCATTCTAGGAAAGTGTCCAGCGAATTCATCTTAGATAAGGCTGAGATTAGAGACGATTCCATATTCTTATCCAGCTACATTTTGTGATTTTAGCTGATGGTCTATTGATTCTTGGGTTCCATTGCATGTGGCATCTGCTGATTCGCTTATGTTGGGACAGTAGTCGATGCTTGTCCTACGTTATCATTAGTGATGAGATGGATAAACATGGTGCAGGTTTAATTATTGGAGGAAATTAGGATCTGGACATGGGTGTGAGAGGAAGTGCTTCTTGTACATAGGAAAGATAAGCTCATAGCTTATAGCTACAGTTCGAATTACTAGGTGCTTTAGGGCCAAAGCTGCGGCTACGATTCAAAATCGACATACTTAACTATTCGCTTGGCGCTTTTATTCAATCTGGTGATTACCTTGAATGAAGTTACTTTGCCTACTAGTTGATACGGACTAGAAACTAAACAAGCAATTCGGTCGCCATGTACACCGTTAGGATTCTGTTCGAATCTCAGGTAGGTTGCATCAATCCTAACAGCATAGCTTGGTGGCGTCACGTTTACTTTCTCTTCTAAGTTGCGTGACATTGTTGGAATGAGATTATGTACGACTACGATCAATGGTGCGCTAATGCATGCCTTTTACTGATTTTAGAAGTTCTGATGTCTGCTGCGACTAGCTCGATATCGACACAACCTGTGGATCCATCAAATAATTTGGTGGGTACTTTCAGGCTTTTCAGCATACCACTCGACTTCATCTAGACATGAAAGTCGCTTGTTCATACACGCCTTTTTCGTGCTCACATTCCTCTTCCCTATGTTTAAGCATTTACGTCGAAGAGCTTCTTGTGCTACATGGGATTCGCCTTCGGCCTTGGTGTTATTCTTGAGTTTTTGTCAGTGAAATGGACTACAAGTTCTACTGAACGCGAAACGTCAAATTAGTGTTTTTAAACTTACTGCAACCTCTATCCATTTTACCATGAAGTCTATTTTTCTACTTCTACTGAAGGAATTGAACGTCATTAGTCCCATAAATACTCCCCTGATACTTTTGGTCTTTAGTAAGGCCTTAAACCAATTTTGGAATGTCTTCATGTATAGTTGATGAAGAAAAGTGGTATTTGGCATACTTTCAGCTTGTTTGGACTGTGTTCTATCTTGTACAAATAATTTTGTTTAGCCTTATAAAGACTCCATATTTTTGAAATGCATCTGCTAATGTTCACGTATGTTATTAACCAAAGGTCACCATATTTCGTTGAGTTTTTTATGCTTTGGATTAACTACTCCCTTAGTAGGCGAATTTCTGCATTCGAGTAGTAAAGAAAACGGGTTAAGCTTTGATGTGTACACGATTTCTCGTTGGTACCGAAGTTGACCCGAGCATTAGTCATATGTCTTTGTGACATCAGCAGTTTGGCGTATACTTCTGCACACTTTCGTTTGACTTCACATGACGGGAGCATTGTTATATTGTTGTTGTCACTTTTAAGCGAGTATTAACTGATTTATAAAATAGCACTCAGCAGTTTTCTCGTCATCGCTGTTTGCCAGTGATTGCTCTCAAGGAATGTAACGTAGCAGGATTTCCCATTCCTCAGAATGGTCTACCTGTAAGACAACAGCAGCAACAGCCGCTACCTGATGCGATGGTCGAGGAGAGTTGGAAGAGTGCTACCTCTACCATCGCGAACTCCTCTGCAGAGGGAGGTGGCGGAGCAGAGAAGCGCTCAGCTAGCGACGGCACAGCGCCTGCCATAGCGGCCTCCACTGGCGCCGCTCCACCGCCGGCTAAACGTGCCTGGCGCGACCAGCCTCACGTAGGCAAGTACAAACTAATACGCACTCTCGGAAGCGGCAATTTCGCTAAGGTCAAGCTCGCCCAGCACATCACCACAAAAAAAGAGGTATTCTCTCTGTTTCTTGTCATCCTTATCTCTCTATCCCACGACTACGATGTGCGGCCTTTTTGCAAACAACAAGTTTTACACCTCTGCCCTTGAATCATTTTTTAACTTACTGCCAGGTGTTTTCAGTATGTTTAAAACTTAACTCTACTCAATGTATAAAACAACTGGCAGTTGCTTTTGTCATTTTACCAGTTATGGTACCCAAGTGTTCTGCCTTGGAGGAATTATCAAATGACTCATATTCAATCAATTTTGTTGATTAAAATTGAACACGCGTGTGGCTAGTAGAAGCCAATTCTGTGTCTGGTTTGCTCTCATAGCTTGAATTAGTCTAAGATGCAGGTCATACAAATAAAGGCGGGTTTCCACGTTGTATTTAACTTGTAGGTACTTTGAAAAGCGCACAACGCTTTTTTTAAAGTCGCTTATGGGGGTGATATTTATGTTTCCTGTATCACCCGGCCATTTAATATTAAATCAGCAGCACCCTCGACCAGAGTTACTTTCCTTCTATGCACTGGTAACGTATTCCATTGTTTGGACTCAGTCTACTTTTGAGTGATTTTGATTTTGATTTCCTTCTTCCATAAATTACCCTGTCCACACACATTTGAAGTATTTTTCTCTTTTATTCCAGGTTGCTGTGAAAGTGATCGACAAAGGGAAGCTCAATCATGCGAGCTTAAACAAAGTGAGTTATCCTTCTCCCTACACTGCTGTCTCCTAGCTGCTCTCAAACTTTCACGCATGTTAAGTAAGGAAGTGACAATGGCAACCATTTGCACAGTTGCGCACGCGCTTACGCCCCTCTGTGAATTACGTAATGTTCGCTGGCTTTGTAATTGGTTGTCATTCCCCTATGACTTGGCCGTCAAATTCTTAAAGCGGCAAAAACGCCAGGCAGGCAGGCAGGCGGGAGTAGTGGCTTGCAAACTCCTTACTTGTTTTCTTTTCTTTTAAGCCTTTCTCATAGATCTTACTCAGGGTGATGTCACTTTTTCATTGGGTGCAGATGTGATTTTTAGTAGTCTCAACCCTAAACAACTTTCGCTTATAACTTGTGTGACTAGTCTCTTGAAGTGCCTTTAAAAGTTATGCCTGGGCATTGTTTCCTCAGCCTATGAATTTCATCAAAGGGGTGCGCTGAAGCCTTGCTTTGTGATGCGTGTCTGCTTGCATCTGCGGTCGCAGGTGCACTTGTGGTCTTTCAATTCATCAATTAGCATAATGGGAGGGCGAGAATTCGTAATGAGGCCACTTTGTTTATCCTCATGCAAATTTGTGTACACACGTACGCACCCATTTGACCTTCAATGTTGTCGGGGTTTTGGTCGATGCCTTGATCCAATTTTCTTCTTTTCAGCTTTTTCGTGAGGTAAATGTGATGAAGCAACTTAACCACCCCAACATCGGTAAGTTTAACACTTCGACACTGTGATTGTGTTCTTCGATCCCTCTGTGTCCTCTCAATTCTGAATCGATGATCTTTGCACTAGCTTGTTCCTCTTTATTGAGCCAATAAGTCTGCACAGTGTGCCACCTCCTCTAGTGACGCTAAGCTCCATCTTCTCCAAATGCATTCCCTCTTAGGTTCATTTGTCACGCATAGTTGAGATGATTTTTTAATGGCAATTAGGCCAAAATTGGATTCGAACATGGCATTGTCACAACACTCAAGCATGCACCAGTCAATCACTCATCTGAGGCTTTAGTTCATTCGTTCTTGTAGAGAAGTAACCGTGTTATTCGTTTCATAGACTGTTCACATCCATAATCAGTCTTCAGCAATAAGAACCCAGTGGGTTGTGCAAGTGTTTTTTTTGAAAGGAAGAATGTTTTCATTTCTATGTAATTCAATTATATTTGTTTAGAATTCATCTGTTTTTCAACCGTTTTCCGTTCTTTGCCTGTAAGTACAGGTGTCATTCAAATCGAAGATTCGCGTCATCGCATCTCTGCTTTAGTTCTGCTTCCATATCAGTATTGAGGGTAATTAAAAGCACTTTCGCATCCCCCTCTGAGTCGATTGTGACCTGCTGCATTCGAAATGAATTTCAGCGTGCCTTTGGAAAGATACGACACTCCTGATCTTCCCAGCTTCTCTGCCATCATGCATCGCAGGTCTAGGCATCAAGATTTTGTGGTGAAATTTCGGGTTCTGTTAGTTCTTACTTCCGAAATGTGCTCTAACCCACCCAGGTCCCTTGTTCCAGTCTATTTTTGTCGTCTCACTCCCCCCTGAGCCTTCTCATTTGCCAGACAGCCCAGTTGAGACCGTGCACTATCCGTCTGGATGCATGTGCGTGACGGCGGTGGAGTGTGCTTTTTGGTGACGTCAATCTTTGCTTGTTTAAGCCCGTCAACACATAATTAGCTCATTTGCGCGCTGCCCGGACTTGGGAATCTTAGATACCTTCATTCTGCATCTTATTGCTATTGCTTCTGCTGCTGCTAATGCCTGACCTTGGCACAAGTGGTATTGCCTCCACTATTATGCAACGGTCTGTCCTCAACCAAATCAAGTGGAAAGGATGGTGGCATTCTCTTATACCTTCTCCTCCCAAAGTGCATCATTTTCTCACTGCAGTAAATTGTCCGCATTGTGATTCTCAAAGCATATACATGCCTATCTGGATGCTTGCTACTTGAACTGGGAGGGATCAAGGTAGATCATTACTTGAATTGAGAGGAGGATCACTTGCTATTTTGACATCAGTTATCCAGCAAACTGGTTCTGCCACCTCTTTTCTATTTGTATTTGGTGTTTTCGTTTCATTAACAAGTTTTAAGATTAAAGATGAAGAGCTCTGAATCCCTTTACCGATGCTCGGAAATGGAATTCTGCTACTATCGAAGCCACTCAGAAAATAGCAGCATTGACAACTAGTCATGCATAATAAAAATTGTTTTTTAGCTCTTTAATGAGCAACATCGTCCGATTAGGTAGGTGGTCGTAACTACACCCTATGTACTAGCTGAATCTTCATGCCTAGTGTTCATGTCATTAACAAACAAACCATTACTCACCAATGCACTTAGGGCTTCGACGTTAGTTATGGGGATGTTTACTCGGTTTCCACCAAAAAGTACCATTTGCGATCCTTTCTGACTTCTGGAGAGCTTGTGGTAGGAGCTTAGTCTGCGTCAGGCAGATTTTGGCACTCATTAGCAAGCTGTTACTAGCGCTGCAACTTACCCAGGAGTGCGCGAAAATTTGCATGACTACTTGTGTGTGTGTGTGGATTCTGTCACACGTGTTGACCATCAATGGCGTGTGCTTACGCCGTCATCGTCACCGCTCTTTCTGCATGTATGTACACGTGCCCTCATCATTCATTGTACTGTGCTATCTTGCCTACACACTAGCAGTTGTGGCTTGTGCGTTTATCATACATCCCCGCCTTGCTCTGCAGTATTTCATCTTCTATGAATGTACATGTGCCCTGCGATGCGCCCCCACAATGGTGACTGCAATAAGTACATCTATCGCAGGGCCACTAAGTTCCCTTTGGTGACTAATCGAAAACAGAAATGTATTAAAACAGAATCAACGTTTGGTCAGATTGGTGTGGATTAAATGCGTAAATTGTCATCTATCAGTTTCTTCGATTGTCTCTATGGTTTGTATTTTCCTCATAGTACGTGCACAAACCACCTCCTACTATTAAGGACCTATCACAGGTTCCACTTTCACTTTTCGGTTCTCTGCGGTAATGGTGGTTCTTGCGCCTCGCCTTCAACGTTAAACCTGATTCTTGCTCGTTTTTCTCTTTTAGTAAAACTCTATGAGGTGATTGAGTCTGATCGTCACGTCTATCTGGTGATGGAATTCGCTGCCAACGGTAAGCACTCCCACTGCCCCATAATTCATTGCCAGTGGGACTTTTCATTTGCGTGTTTGCAAATCCGTGTTTAAGCCTAACTTTAAGTTGCCCCACTGATTTTTCACGCATCTTATTTTCCATGCTGTGTCGACCTTGCTATGTAGAAGGTGGCCTTTTTTCGTAATCAGCAAGGCCTAAACTTCTGTTGGCATAGCGCCCATTTGATGTGATATAACTGGACTTTATTTTTAGTTCAGTAGTGCTTCTGTCAAATTTATTTACCAATTCTCGTGAATTGTATTAAAATGGCCCTCATTTTTCTTCAGTCGCGTAGTAGGTTTCGTTCCTGCATGCATTACTATTAGATAGGCTCATAGTGTAGTTGGTGCAATCGCTTCTGTTGTGTTCTGCCGTTGATTTTCTCCTAAATTGCTCATTTTATCATATGGGGTGAGTGTGAGCTGTTTTTTGCAAGTTGACTTGCGAAATTGCACAATAAACCAGGCCCATGGACGGATGTGCGTCTCCCTGTGCGTTTTGTGCTCCTATTTTTTCAGTTATTTTACGTTTTATGCTGTGTGCGTCTGTTCGTACTTATGCAACATACGTGGAAAATGATTCCTATTATAGCCTCAACTCTTATTGACTGCTGCCGTTGTTTGTCGGGCACTACAGGCGTTATCATTGTCTGAAGCTCCTTTCGGTTGCATATCCGTGTCAGCCTTCATGCCCCGTTAGTGAGTAGCTTTACCGTCTACTTTCACGGTTGGTAGTTTCCACTTGTCCGTCACATCTATCCGGTTGTGCTGATTTTGCTTACCCCAAGGACATTCTTTCTTTGCTTCACCGTCCTTTCCTCACTGGCATTAACTTAACCATTGCATTACTACGCATGTGCCAGATTAATGACAAGCTGCCTCTGCTCTCCTCTTCTTTCTCCCCACTCTTCTACGTCTACTTTGGATCGCTAACTTATTCTACTAGTCACACGCGCACACCACTGATTTCATCGATGGTCTGTTTACTTAGGGAAGGTTTTAGGGCCGAAATTTATGACCCAGCGGTTACTGCTCTTTAACTTTCCATGTGAAGGGGAAATCAGCTTTATGCTGGCTTTTTATACGGTTTACCATCCGAGGAGTCGTTTCCCCATCATACATTCCTTGAATCTGGCCATTTCACCCCTTGGTTGTACAGCTGGTGCCATTATTTGAAATAACAGTAATAGTTACCTTCACATGGTCGTTATCTCTACTTGGGGTTCCATCACGGCTACGCAAACTGACTGTTTTGTGGTCTGTTGCGGTCGCCTCTGTCTCACCCACTGCAGTAATTCCCATATGTTAGTTAGGTGCATTGTTTTCCCACAGCCGTCATCCGTTGTGCTGCTGAGAAGCCCCTCTAATTGCAGTTATTACAAAGAGGGTTAATTTGGCTCAGACCGTGCTTCTGAACATTTGGCACAGCCTTTCTAGTCTGGCTAAACTTTTAGAATGCTTCCCACACTGTGTGATCCATGCGTATAAATCCAGTCATTGGTAAGTAGGTGTTTTGGTACTCTTCTTTATTCCGTATTTGCGGGTTTTAATTCCCTCGCTGTTGCGGCTCTGAAACCCTTGAGGCTCCTTTTCTGATACGTACTGAATTTAGACCCTACATTTTTGCTTTGAGTGTTTGGTTAATTCTGGATCCTTTTTACTGGAATGAGTACTATTTAAATGAATATTTGGCATGTGTCAATGAGAGTAGTAAGATTCGTCTATTTTCCTCCATATCTTCGGAAGGCATTGCCTGTCAATGTGTTTACTCCGACAAGCAACACTCTAGAATGTGTGTTTTATTCCTTTTTGAACACTAATCTTTGGGCACATTACAGGTGAACTTTTCGAATACCTCGTGTCCAATGGTCGGATGCGCGAGAAGGATGCTCGCATCAAGTTCCGTCAAATTGTCTCTGCAGTGCAGTACTGCCACCAAAAAAACATCGTTCACCGCGATCTCAAGGTTGGTTTTTCCTTTTTTACCTCATTACACGTTCTGACTATTCATTGAACATTCTGAAGAGGCAATCCATGTGTGTTGCACTGCATTGAAGGCGGAGAATTTACTCCTGGACGCCGATTATAATATCAAGTTGGCCGACTTCGGCTTCTCCAACACGTTCCGCGCCGACAAGAAATTGGATACATTCTGTGGATCGCCGCCGTACGCGGCGCCCGAGTTGTTCCTTGGCAAGAAGTATATCGGCCCTGAGGTGGATGTTTGGTCACTGGGTGTCATACTCTACACTATTGTTGCCGGTTACCTTCCCTTTGATGCACAGAACTTGCGGGTTAGTATCAACCTTCTGCATTCTCCACTTTTAAAACTACCAACTGCATTACTCAAGTGTGGTCTTCTTTTGCTAATAGGATCTTCGTGAACGTGTTCTACGCGGCAAGTATCGTATCCCCTTTTTCATGTCTACCGATTGCGAAATGCTGCTGAAGCGCATGCTTGTGTTGAATCCAGAGAAAAGGTATTCCCTCCTGGTAAGTTTTTACTGTCTACTAGCCAACTCAGACATACTTCCTTTGATGGTAGCGGGCTTCAAGGTGTTTAAGGTTATTTAACCGCTTGGGTGTTTCATTTTTTTGTAAACTCCGATTGCATTATAGTCAGTCATGGAGGACAAATGGACAAATATAAACATGGAAGACAATATTCTCCGGCCCTACCAAGAACCAGCGCCTGACTTTAAAGATCCTGTTAGACTTTGTAAGTTCATTCAGGTACTCGAGAAAAGTGTTCACTTGTTAGTTCACCATGCAAGTTTCTTGGTATCTGAGCTCTTAATCCTAAGTTCGAACGACACGTTTTAGCCTACTTCTCTATTCTCATTATTAATCTACGACTTCTTGCTTCATTTTCAGTTTGTGCTAACACAATTATTCCTCACCAATGAAATTGGCTTCATGCCAAAATACGAAGGGCGCTTTTGGTATTATTTTTATCAGTGCTGATGGTGAATCTGATTCTTTTGACTCTTTCTTATGTGCTATTATTTGGCACCTCTCTTACCGTTTGATCCTCACAATATGCGTTTGTCTGTCTTTGGCACCTGTCATTGCCGCGTCTTTTACTCCCTTCGTCTGCTAAGGAAACATGGGCCTTTTTTATGATTCGTTAATTTCAAAACGTTTTTTGGCTTCATTATTTGCCTCTCTTTCATAGATGTGACTCTGCTGCTTGAGTAAACTGAAATTTGCTATACCTCTATTGTGATCACGGTGCAGAGGGCTCTTTTGATTTTAAGTCACCTCTACTGTCATACTTTATAATGGCGGATTGAAGTTGAATTGCAATTGCTGACAACATCTCCACTGTTGCTGTTTTCATCTTACAGCCAAAATGGTCGAGATGGGTTTCACGCTAGAGGAGATCAAGGACTCTCTGGAGAATAATAAGTTCAACAACGTGACGGCAACATATTTCCTCCTTGGAACGGATCGCCCCTCCTCCTCAAGCTCATCTCTCTCCCATCAGTTATCCTCTTCCGCTAGCATTTCCAACCGACCCACCACATCCATAACTACCGATGACGACTCTGTGTCCGTGCCTGATCCCTCCAAGTCCGTTTCCACACCCAGGGGATCTGCAGCCACAAGCACCACAGCTGCTGCTGCTGCTGCTGTTGCTATTGGTGGCGGCTCTGCCTTGACCACCGGCGGAGATTTAGGTATGTGTGTGTGTACGTGTTTCCGCCTCCTCCATTCCGGTGGCCAAAGTAAGGTTCTCCACCATTGTTTGATGAAGACCAACTTCTTACGCATTTAATTCCTGTTTTTAGTGGGATTAAAATCACTACAGGTATTTATTTGTCTGCCGTTTAAACGGTTTTATTCCTTGAAATTAATCTCACTGTCTAGTCGCATGAAGTTGGGAGGTCCTTACGAATGCCATTGCTTCGTAACCTCGCTTCGGAAGCGGTGGCTTTCTTTATGAATGTGAGAGATTTGGTGCCTCAATTTCAACAATTCAAACAGACTAGCAATTTTCTATCATCCAAGAAAGAGCTGTGTTTGAGAACAGCTTTAGTACGTCGGAGTTCATGAACCTAAATAAGCGCATTTGATTGGCGTATTTCCTTTTCGGTTTAATACCTATCTTTGCGCGTGTGCTTTGTGCTAGAGGCTAACATTAATTTGGCTAATATGTTCGGTTGATCTCGATTCTAAGGAAATATCTGATTTCAGACTTACCTCACATGCTGGTCTCTTCAACGTCTATGCGAAAAGGATCCTCCTCCACACGTGCAAACGGGTCCGCTAACTCCACTACTCCAGCTGCGGAGTCTACCTCTGATTCAAACTCGTCAGCCAACGGAAAGCAGAAGTCTGCCTGGTCACAAAAACGCGGGTGAGTGCCTTGTCATTCTTGGTATCGTTGTGAAAAGCTTTTCATGGCCTTTGCTTATTTCCCCTTAGAGAGACTGTTTCCGTTGATTCTACGACTGTCAACAGTGGTGTAAGGATTGACAAGCCAAAGGTGGCTACTCCAACAACACACTTTGACGCACCCAGGTCCTCCGAGGCCGCCAGGGACTCTCCTATCAATCGGTCGCCATCAAAGCCGTCTGGCGGAATTGGCAGTGGTGGTGGTGTTCGGAGAACGCGTACCTTCACGTCTGCCGATAAACGGCGCAATACAGTCGCTGTTGGAGGTCCCGGCGGTGCTGAAGGTGACTCGGATGTCTCAAAGGCTCTTGTTCGTGTCCCAAATATGGATAACATTGTCGAGTACGCTTATCGCTAACAAATGGACTCAGATACCATTGATTATGCCTATGCTTCCGTATTTTCCGGCCCGTTGTTAGGTATCAGGGGATAAAATATGGACGTTGATGTAAATTGTCAAGCCCTTTTACATAGTCATTACCAAGGTAGTCTAAAGGTTTCAGACATGCATAACCCTTTTCTCTACCTTAATTGACGATGAATGCGACTGATAAACTCCAATGTTTGAATTTCCTAAGGTACTTTAGCGAACCCGTTAAACGCTTTAAAGTTTGACTCTTTTAAAGTGTTTCCCGATAACTTTCCTAGGTAGGATCTGCTTTTAGCAGTTTTAATTGTTTCACGCCTTTATCTCTGATTATTTTGTTGCCTCCCATTCCTTTGCCAAGGCTTCATTGCTATGGCGCACAATTGGCAATAAACGGGGGTAAGTGTAGTTCACTAGTTCAACTAATTCCCGTTTCATGGTATGTTAGAGCTCTTACTCCTGTTTGCTTATCTGTTCCTCACAAAGGTAGTTTCTTTTGCGTCTACAGCTGTCTTCGCTCTTAAAATGTCTCTACTGAGTTACGTTGCCGTTAGTTTGCATTCACTTGCTCTCATCTCATCGACCCACTGGGTGCAAACTGTGTTGTTTTTTGCAGTCAAGTTGGCGATGAGTCAGGAGGAGAGCGGGACACGTCGGACAGAGAGCTGGATGTCGACGGCTTGGGCGTTCACTCCTCGGCTAGTGGACGCTGTGTTGCTGGTGGTTCGGGCGATCTCCGGGTGGGAAAGAATCTAACCCAAGCCACCACTCTACCCAGTCCTACCTCCACTCGTGCTCGCGCGGACGATAGCGACTCCACCACTCTTAAACACCAGGACTCGTAAGTGCTTAATTCATTGCGTCTTAACTTCCGCACGTTCAACACTCGTTCCGTGTCTCTTTGCCCTCTATGGTGGCAAGCTTGTAACCTAATTAGTCCTACTGGTGTGATTTAAGTAGTTAACCGACTCCGCCTCGTGTCTAGCTTATCCACGGCTGAGACCGTCTATGAAGTCACCAGCCTGGGTGAAATTCGTGGAGGCGGAGGGGCGTTCTTTTGTGGGTGGGTTTTTTGGTGTGTGCCTGTTTGCCTCCATATTCTCCTGAAACACTAACATAGTTCCTACTGACTGCTCGCCCACTTTTCCCGTCCACTGTTGTCATGGGCGCCAGTTGACATCTCATTGCTGCTGTCACCAATGCCACTACCACTACCATTTGTCGTTTTGTGCCATTTGTGTGATTCATTCTGATTTCTGCACGTGATGGTCGATTTGTTCACGTAATTGTTAATTCATTCTAACGCCTTCTTTTTTTCTTCAACTCTCCGCTGCTTCCTTGGATTTTCGCCACTCAGCTTCTGGAAGCGGGTTAGAAGGTAACTTCCCTATTTCTTTCACTGTCTTCCAATTATCTACTTTTTTTGTAAAATCTTCGCAGTTTAGTGCTGTTTTATCTCTATTTAAATCATGGTTGCTTGAATGTATTCAAGAGCGCCATTGCCACCTTTCCTCTATGAGAACACTATTTTCCCATTGAAATTCTCCTCTCGTTCTCAACATTTCTCCTATCAGCTAACCCTTTTCTGGATGTCCTTGTAGGAGCATGTCACGGAAACAACAGCGCAATAAATCACGTCCAGCAATCCGTTTTGAAGCGGCAGACGAGGTGCTTTCCGCGGATCACCCTTCACACGCGGTTGATAAAGCCGAACCCAATACAGTACCAACCTTCATGCGAGGCGCTCCAGACCGTAGTACTGCTCCAGCAGCTCGCGTCGTCCACCACGCCACTAACACTCCAGTGGAGCACTCTCAGCGATTTAGGCCTCCTGTCACCTCATCACCTCCACCACACTCCTCCCATCAGCATCGACCAGTGGAAGTGGGAGCAGAATCGCCGGTGCGGGTGACAACAAAACCCACTGAGTACCACCATCACTCTTCATCGTTCCTCCGCAGTGTATCCTCGAGGCTGAGCAAAAGGTAGACTGCCAATTTAACGTCGTTCTTGTATTTCACCAGACCTACGTGTACACTACACTACTCACGACGCTATTGTGCTTACTGGTTCTATTACCCTTGCTATTATTCATTCCCTACAGTTTTCGACGCAAGAGGGACCGCTCACAGTAAGTCGCCCGTTAGCTCGGTGTACGCCTCAGTGTATCCACTTTATTGTCTTCTTTTCACTGACACTACTGTCTTTGATACCATACGCTAATCCTCCACCAACTGCACAATCATTGCCGCTTCTCCAGCAACCTTTGGTTTCTCTCTACGTTGGGGAAATTGCTACCTTTTTCCCCAAGTTTATACTTACACCAATCAGTTTGCTTAAGACCAATCACTAATCTGTTACGATGTCCCAATTTTCCATACTTATTTTAGGCGTCCAAGTATTTCTTGTGCTTCCACTTAATTCGGTTGTATGCTGCGACAACCAAGTAGGACATGCATCTAGCGACTTCTTCAACGCTTTTGCAAGACTAAATCTTTTCCATGAAAGCTAGAGTTTAGTCAATTGAATGTCGCTTTTGTAAATTAATTTTCAGCTTTACGCAATGAATTGATCTTATTTTCTCCAAATCAGACCCCTGTCTGTGAAGTCACTGATTTTATAAAACATTGGTGCGCAGAATAGCCTGTTATTCAGGATTTTGAGTTTTGGAGAATTTCCATCTTGTACATTCCTGATGGAAACATTGGGACTGCGCTGCCTAACCTTCTGCAGTCTTATTGTACAGCTTTTTACAAAGACCCTAAGTGGCCCGCAAAACTGTTTTCCATACTGGATTTCATAATATTTTTCACTTCTCTATTGCCTGCAGCTCCAGGACAACACCAACACGAGGGATTTCCAGGCAGGCGACGGAGGAACGGGAGGAGGCAGGCAAGCAAGACACTAATTTGGTGACTACTGATTCACCTATTCCTGCGCACCACCGCGCCTTCTCCTCTGAGCGGAAACATGCCGTTGTTACCACTGATGACCCTTGGAGTCCAATGCTGCCCGAAAAGGGTCATTCTGAAGGTGAATTTTCCCCCTTCACGCACACTTGCCCCAATTGGATATGCGGCAGGTGAAAATGAATAGAGCGACTTCTTGTTTGAGATCATGTCGCTCACAAAGGTTCGATTGTGTTTTAGGCGAGGCATTGTTAACTAACATTAGCAACAGCTTGGAGCCACTATTGCCAGCCTGTTTCGATAAGAAACCGCGTAATATCTCCGTCTTCTCGGGCACATGGCGAAAGGCTTCTTCCTCCACCACAGCTACTACCATCTTCGGTTCCAACCCTGATCGGTTAATGGGTCAGCTTATCAGCGCTCTCAACACCGCCCGCATTCACTTTGCCCGACCTGGCAAATACCGCCTGCAATTCGTCTTCTCGCCACCACCACTTCTTCCCTCCACTAATACCAGTGTTGTCTCCCCTACCGCGGCCTCGCCGATAGCAGATTTCGCGTCGAAGGTGCGCCATCGGGTGCGAGTGGTGGTGGAGGTATGCCACGTATTTGGCACAAACTCTTATGTGGCACGATTTAAACATCTCTCTCCCTCTAACTGTCCTGCGGCCGCCACCGAGGACTTCAAGACGGTCACCCAGAGCCTCGTCCGCTTGGTCCGAACCTCCATATCCACACCCTCCTCCGCTGCCGCAGCCTCCTCCTCGTAGGCCCCATAGTTATGTAATGACGCCTAATCGATGATCTGTGATTTTAATCCTCTTTTTTTGCGACTGCCGTTTCAACTGCTGCCATTCAGAATCCTTTCACCCTATTTCCCCGTGTTATGTTTCTCTTCATTTTCTTTTCTCACCCAACTTCTTTCACCGAAATCAGACGTCCTCTATAGTGGTAATTGTGTGTAAACTGATTTGATTTGCCCTGGCTGCTTGCCAAACAAATGCGCGCACAGAAAGGGTTTTCCTGCCGCGACTTGTGTAAAAGACTCACCCTACGTGCGTGGAAAAGGCCTCCCATCTCCCTTATATTACCCTTCAGAAACGTGAGCTAGTGAATGGAAAAAAAAATATTATCGGAGATTTTTTCTGTTGGAGTACGAGTTAATTGGGATTCTTGTAACAATGGAAGGGCTTGTATTAATTATTCATCAATAAACTTTTCAGTGGTGGCTGGGTGACAAGTTGCCTAGACCAAGTGTGCCCTAAGTGCCTTCTGTACTTCCGTGGTAGCCGTATAAGTATTCATTCGTCTTTAGAACAGTGGATCGACATCTGCTAGACTGAGTTCGGACGTTCCCTGAGGTTGCAAGTCCAACTCCGTTGGTTTTACCGATTAATTAAACTTACTAGAACAGGGTTCTTCATTGGTGTGAAGCCAAACCCAGACCTGTAATCCACCAGGGAGGCCGCTATTTAATCTTGATTGTTTGTAAAACGACTCAGCAGTGCCATCTCCGTCGCAGTCTTAACTACTAAAATTCACAGCTACACGACGCCATCCATAATAGGGGGTTCCGAATATTGTGCTAAGGGTACTCTGGTGCTTAGTTCTGCGCATGTGTAGTGTGTAGCATGATTTATGAATTGGAAGCTCTTTGTGGAATGAGAGTTCAAGATCCATGATTTACTGTCATAAGAACATATAAACTCATACAAATATATAGCAAATTCAATTCAGCAACGACTATCACACTCACACATAATACCTTATTTTCAACCTCTCGAGTGTTTGGCTTTGTCAGCAGAAATGACAGGGAGGGGAGAAGACTGCGGATGTGTGGAGGGTGAGGACAATCGCAGCAGTTCGTCTTCGACGTCCGAGTCCGCCAACTCGACTCGCCACCGCAGGCCAGGCGTGTCGCTCCGACGGATGTAGTAATAATTACGCCTATTAAGGGCGTCATCGTCTTTTTTTCGCACCAATCCTCCAGGCATTGCAATTTGACTCTGGAAGCAAGGGAAGATGCGACGCTTCTCATCCTCCGCCGGCTCCACTGGGATCTAAAATGCGAAGGTTTTGGAATTCCTTTAAACAAATCCAAGTGGATTCAGCACCGCCTTAAAAGTAACGTGAATTTGCATTGAAACCAATTACTAATTTATTTTTACACCGTGAACTCCTGGCGGCATGTGCATCATTTCACATCTGTGGGTAATGACATCTATAGAAAACGTAAATGCACAAATCAAGCCTCCCGTGAGCCTTTTGAAATAAGTTCTGAAATCCAGGCGGGATTAAGTCGATAATAATCGTTTTAGGAACAAAATGGGGTTAATAAGTTTTTACCTTGTACACAAGCACAAAAGAACACAGAAGAGAGCCATAAGTCCCACGATCATTGTTATACAAAGGAATCAAGTACGCATTCCGGCCCGATAACAGATAAAATATTACTGAGGAGCAAAAAACCAGTGATGCGAATATCAAGTACCCGAAGCAGTATTCAAACAATTACACGATACATCAGGAAAATTACAAGTCCTGTAGAAAAATATCTTACTTGAAAAAGAGTAGGATCTTCGAAAATTTTCGTCAGCAAAAGGAAGCCACGTCCTTCCGGCGCAGTGGTGATTGGACTTGAAGAAAGAGCCTGACGTGAAGCATCGACAATATCGTCGGGAATTTTCCCCATTTGGAGCAGTTTAAGCGCAAGAACCGGTGGCATTGGGGCCACGCATTTGACCGGTACAAATGGAGCACGATTTAATCCAAGGTTGGTACTATCCTGTAACTTTCTTCCCTCATCGATATTCAGGAGGCGCCAATCGGGTTCATGAGAATTTGGAACAGAGACAATACCAAAGTTGTGTCCACGAAATACACGTTCAGCATAGGCCCGACATCTTGCGCCCGACTAAAACAAGTTGGTGATATGAAGAATGTCAACCCTGGCTAGTGGTTTGCTCGAGAGAAACAACTCACCGAATCCGACATCAATGGTTCAATTTCCTTAATCACGTAAAAACACGGCTCTTTGTACATTCTTTTCTCGGACTCTTTGATAACAACACGGCCCACTCCCCTGTCACAAAGGTTACTGGCTATTTCGCTGAGATATTTTCCAAAAAAATCCAAGGAAGGACGCCCTACGTACTTTATCCTTGCCATTATGATTCCGTGCAAAGCAAACACCACATCATCTCAAGCGGTATCTGGCTGACCAATAGATGAAGCGAATTTAGGAGTAACAGGTCATACCTAATTAATGCTGAAGGAATATTTTGCATTTTAACACTAAAATAGTTACACACATGGTCTTTTGCTAGTGTATGAGTCACTTGCTACACTGATTATTCGATTGCTGATCATAGTTACATATATGCATATAATGGGTAAGCTTTGAACTATCTTCAAATATCATTTGGGTCATAAATTACTGATGTTTTGTCGTAATCATGAAGAGTGGCATAACGAATCAGGAATGTTCTTGCTTAAAAATTTGACGTCTGACCAGTTTTGGAACGCAAATCTCGTGCATGAGGACCGTGAGAAATCGCTCTCCAGATGAGATCCGCTATTCTGCACATCTATACTCCTAAGCTCGTTCCTCCTGCGTTCAATGACTAAATAAATCTATTGCAACTAACCCCGACTTGAAGTTCGTGGTATAAGAGCACGATGGTAGACAGGCAGTTCCCGCACGACCTACTAACGGAACAGTACTCTTAAGATTGTTTCACAGTTGCTGTGACTTTATTCACTTATGTATATAGTGTCTCCTATAGCGCCCCAAGACTTCCTAGCCGATAATAAATGGCAATAAGCGCAGCTGGATATATGTATTCCAAAAACGACAGGGCAAATGGGGTCTGAGCGTAGCCCAAAGGCCACCCCACGTG